TGTAGGGTTCTTGGGGAAAGAAGCAGCCAGAAATGTGGGACTGCATCTGAGACGAGGGCTGCCTGGCCACCGAACTTTGCCCCCCTCCCCAACCCTGCCCTCCTCCCAACCCTGCCCCCCTCCCCAACCCTGCCCTCCTCCCCTGGGCTTGTTGTGTGAGCCGCCACCAGCCCTGTCAGTCTCATGGGCACCCAGGAAGCGTGGAGAACTCCCCGTCCACAGGGAGCTGGAGTGGGCTAGGCAGCTTAGAAAGTTCTGGAATAAGCCCCAGAAGCAAGCTCACAGTGCTGTGGCTTCTCTCTGGAGGCGAGCCCCGAGGACAGCAGGACCCCTTGGGGGAGGGTGGTAGGCCCAGTTGGGGTTCTGGCCTTCCCTGACATGGGATCAGGAGGGACTTGGAGGGTGGGGAGGCCAGCCTGAGCACACATGGCAGCCCAGACCACAGAAGTGGTCAGGGAGGATGAAAGGATAAGAGGAAGGACTTCCAACAGCAAGTCTGGCTAGAGCAGGGCCAGGAAGTGGGATGAGAGAGGTTGTGAAGGACTTTGCCAGAAAGGTCCCTGGCCTGCTTAGAGGCCAGGGCTCCGGGAATGGGAGCAGGACTCCTCGGGCCCCCACCTTCCAGCACTGTGTTGATGCCAGGAAAGGGGTAACAAGTGGAACCCGGTGAGAAGGAGTTTCTTCTGGATCTTGAGAGTGTGGGTGCTGGCAAGAAGCACAGGACCTGGCAGCTCTGCTCCCGGAGGCTCCGTGCCCCACTGACTCAGAGACTCTAGTCATTGTCCTTATGTGCCTTTCCTTCTACCCACCCTTCCTTTGGCCACCCCCAGTCAGAGGAGCAGGAGACAGAGTGAGCTGTGAGGTTCTTGTTTCTGATCCTATAAGTACCACCACCACCACCACCATCACCACCATTACCACCATCATTACCACCATCACCATCACCACCACCACCACCATCACCATCACCACCACCATCACCACCATTACCACCATCATTACCACCACCATCACCACCATCACCAACACCACCATTACCACCATCACCACCACCATCACCATTACCACCACCACCATCATCACCACCATCACCACCACCATCACCATTACCACCACTACCACCATTACCACCATCACCACCACCATCACCACCACCACCACCACCATCACCACCACCACCACCATCACCACCATCACCAACACCACCATCACCACCATCACCATCACCACCAACACCACCATTACCACCATCACCACCACCATCACCACCACCACCACCACCATCATCACCACCATCACCACCACCACCACCACCATCACCACCACCATTACCATTACTACCACTACCACCATTATCACCATCACCACCATCACCATCATCACCACCACCATCACCATTACCACCACCATTACCACCACTACCACCATTATCACCATCACCACCACCACCATCAACACCACCATCACCATCACCATCACCATTACCACCACCACCATCATCACCACCACTACCACCATTATCACCATCACCACCATTACCACCATCATCACCACCACCACCACCACCACCACCACCACCACCACCACCATCATTACCACCACCATCATCACCATCACCACCACCATCACCATTACCACCATTATCACCATCACCACCACCACCATCATCACCACCACCATCATCCCCACCACTACCACCATTATCACCATCACCACCATTACTATCACCACCATCACCACCATCACCATTACCACCACCACCATCACCATCACCATCACCACCACTACCACCATTATCGCCATCACCACAACCACCATCATCACCACCACTACCACCATTATCACCATCACCACCATTACCACCATCACCACCACCACCATCATTACCACCATCACCACCACCATCACCACCATCACCATTACCACCATCACCACCACCACCATTACCACTACTACCACCACCACCACCACTACCACCATCACCAACACCACCACCACCATCATCACCACCATCACCATCACCACTACCACCACCATCATCACCACCACCATCATTACCACCATCACCACCACCACCATCATCACCACCACCATCATTACCACCACTACCACCATTATCACCATCACCACCACCACCATCATCACCACCATCACCACCACCACCATTACCACCATCACCACCACCACCACCACCACCACCACCACCACCACCACCACCACCACCACCACCATCACCACCACCACCACCATCACCACCACCATCACCACCACCACCACCATCACCACCACCACCACCATCATCACCATCACCACCATTACCACCATCACCACCATCACCACCACCATCACCACCATTATCACCATTACCACCACCACCACCATCATCACCACCACTACCACCACCATCACCATCACCACCACCACCACCATCACCACCACATCACCACCATCATCACCACCACTACCACCACCATCACCATCACCACCACCACCACCATCACCACCACCATCACCACCACCATCACTGTTATAAGTAACGACAGCACCACCATTACCAGTAGCAGCATCACCATCATCACCATTATCACCATCATCATCACCATGACCACCATCATCAGCATGACCATTGCCATCATCATCAACACCACCATCAACACCACCACTCAAATCTTCAGCTCCAGCTCTATCCACACCACCTATGGTCCCTCATGTTCTTGTCCATCCTGGTCACCCTCACCATCCTCAGCCCACTCCTCTCCCTAGGGCAGGTGGTGCTGATGATGGCAGGTGGAGGGTAGCAGAAGAGATGGTCTCAGATTCACTGGTGACAGGTTGCTGAAGAGGATGGCACTTGTTCTGGGAAGCTAAGACAACAGAGGGAATGCATGGAAGGCCCAGGAATGAGGCATGACCACCTCTGGACTCCACAAGGAATGGAGCAGCTTCTGGTGGAGACGCTGCTGCTGCCTTGGGTAAGGAACCCAGCAGTGGGCTGGGTCCACAAACTGGAGCAGGAGACCTGGTTCCAGGAGCAGTGCCTCCCTAACGTGGGATTCTGGCAGCAGGACTTGGACCAGAGTCTGGTGTGCTTGCTGTCGAGAGGATCATGCCTGGCCCACTCTCAGGAGCCCACCGCTCTCAACAGCTGGGTGAAGTCCTGAGGGACCTGGCAGAGGCCCAGGGGGAGGCCCCATCCTGGCCCTGAGCATCTCTGGGCCCTGGTCCAAAGCAGTGCCCAGCACAGGGCTTACCACGAAGGTGACTGGGGCCCACCAGAGCAGGCCCGAGGGCGCATGTCTCCAACAGGGCCTTTCCTGGCTGGCTTTTGCATGGAGATTTGGGAGCAGCCAGCAATTTCTGTGAAGGGTCCTGAAGGAAAGCAAGGAGCGCTGAACAGCTGAGTGTGTGGCTGAGGCAGGACATGGGACATGGCTTCTCCCTGGGAGGGAGGCCCAGCAGGGAGCAACCAGGCTCTGGACGGCTGCATCTTGCCGTGCTGCCACTGAGCCGGACCCTGGTGGCGCCCACTGCTGGAGTCCCCTGCCTGCAGAGTGTGGGCTCGGCTTCCTGCTGTTTTGCATTTGGCAGTGTTGGGTGTGGGTGGAGATGGGGAGTCAGGGAGCTGCCCCACCATGTCTTGGCCACTCTGCCTGACCCTCCAGCCAGGCCCTGTGCTCTATGCTGCCTGCACCAGGAGGGGCTCGGGGGCTCAGGGCCTGGTCCACTTGCCCCTGGGGTGTCTCAGCTTCCCTCAACAGCAGGAGGGAGAAAGGGTGCAGCCAGTCACTCATCAGAACCCCGGCTGCTGGGTCTGGAGCGGCCTCTGGGAGGGGCTGCCAGGGCCCAGGAGCCTCCCTGAAGCAGACACAACCAGTGTGCATGCAGAGGGCCAGTGGACTGGGCATGCCCCTGGTAGGTATAGCATCTGGGCCTCTGGGGGCTCTGGGGGGCTCCTCAGGGCCACTGCAGACACTGCCCTCTCTCCCTGTGGTTGGCTCACCGTCCGCCACGCCCATGTGGCACCCGGGGGCTGTCCACGGTACTGTGCTCACTGTGGTCTCTACCCAGCCCGTCCCCATCTCACCCACAGTGAAGCTCGCAGGGACAAAGCCCCGGTGGGGAGGAGGGGCCCAGGCTGTCCAGGGGACCCGTGCCAGGTCGCCCCTCCTCTGCTTGGCTTGTTGGGATGACATGGTTGGGGCTGAGGACTCTAGAGAGCCTGTCACATGCCCTTTCGAGAGCTCCAAGTCCCCTCAGTCGGGTCTGTGGGGCTTGAGGAGGGGCAGTGGGCTCTGCCTGCTGAGGCCAGGCTCTCTGCAGTCCTGGGGCTTCCTGGCTGGGAGCAGTTGAGGAAGGGGCTGGCTGATGTCCCCCGACCTGCTGGCAGCTCCTCTCACAGCTCCCGGGCCAGGTTCCTGGAGGGACTCAGGCTGCCCCCTGCTGGAGACTGGGAGAGAGGCAGGAAGGAGCTCCTCAGCCTAGAAGGGTGGGCCGACTGCGGGGGGGCTCCCACTGGGTCTGGGGATGGCTCTGCATCTTCACATTTGCTTTCCCAACTCACCCCTGGCCAGACAGGGCCACGTGGTCTGGGGACAGCAAGCGTCCAGTGATGGACATAGGGAGCTGGCCCAGGGAACACGGAGGAGATGGCAGCACAGAACCCCACGTTTCCTCGAATCCCGTCTGTCTGTCTGTTCCTTTAAATTACTGCTGTTGATTGTCCTTCCTGAAGGTGACTCAGGAGACAAGGGGAGTCTGACAGGCCCTGGACCAGGCTGGGGTCAGAGCTGCCTGTCCCCTCCGCCGAGGACTGCCGCAGAGGGGCAGGCACCCACCATGGGAGTGCCCAGAGTTCCCACCACAGCCTGGACAGGGCGCCTGGGAGCCCGGGCCAGACCCCGGCTGCCGACGGGGCAGGAGTGGCAGGGCCACTGGGACACGAGGCCAGGGGCAGGCCTGTCCTAGCCAGGCAAGCTGCCGACACAAACCACACACGGCAGTTGGGTTTTTAATTCTTTTTATTGAAGAAAAGAAAAGGAGAGAAAAAATAGATTCCCCACCCTGTGTCTTCCCAAAGTGGGCTTAGTCCTGCCCCTGGGGGCCTCGGGTCAGGGCTGTGCTCTCTGCCTGGGTCTGAGAGGGGCCCAGGGCCCTGGAAGGGAGTGGGGGTCTGGCTGCTTCCCCAGGGGTGGGGGATGTCTAAAAAATGGAGCCAGGCCAGCGGGCCACACGGGCTGGTCCTCTGCAGCGGAGTCTCAGGTGGGCATCCTGGGGACACTGGCCCATCCAGGCCTGTCCGCTGTCCACAGCCCCCCGCCCGCTGGGGCTCGCCCTAGAAGGGCAGAGTCTGAGGCACCTTTGGGCCTCTGGAGCCCTGTGCCTGCCGGGCTGCGCCACCTCCTGTCCTGCGTCTGGCTCTGGTCCCAGCGCGGGCCCTCTGCCTGGCCGTCTGTGCCCTGAGGCCGGGGTGCAGGCCTGGCCTGCGCGTGAGCGTGCCTGTGCCCGTCCTGTGGCCGGAGCGGGCAGAGCAGATCCCTCCTCCTGGCCCAGTGCGGGCCGCCGCCCGCCCACTCAGACCTCCGTCTGGAGGTCGATGATGTCCTGGCCCACCAGCGGGATGGTGGCTCCGGCTTTCTCCCACTCCACGCTCCGCAGCTCCAGGGGCGACGGCGGCAGTGGCTCCAGCTCCTTCTTCACCCAGGCGGGCGTCCCGTGGGCCTTCCGGAGGCTCTCCCAGGGCCGCTTGTTGGGCGTCTGCTGCTTTTCTGGCTGCGGGGCGAGTGGCAGGGGCGCGGGCGAGAGGCAGGGTGCAGCGGGAGGGAGAAGAGGGGGCAGACCAGGTCAGGAGGGGCTTCAGGGAGGGGCCCCGGCACATCTCACCCTACGACTGGCAGGGCCCGGGGCTGGCAGGGAGGGCGGCTGGGAACCCGCCTGCCCCCACCCTGACCACACCCGAGCGCCGTGCCAGGCTCAGCTGCGTCCTGCCCCTCGGGGTCCAGCCTGGGCCCACCAGGCCGGTCCTCAGGAGAGGCAGAATGAGTGAAGGAGTGAGTGACCAGGTGGGCAGAGTGGGTGTGGACAGCAGGGGAGGCCCCGGGACCCCGTGCCGCCCCCGCCCTCCAACCTTGCTGTCGGGGCCCAGCGCCTCCTTGTCCTTCTCGGCCGCGTGCTGCAGCTTCCGGTTCAGGTCCTGGAACATGTCCTGGTGCCGCTTCCGCGTGTGCATGATCTTCTGCAGAGGGAGGCCACTGTCCTGAGCAGGGCCCGGCCAGCCATGCTGCCCATCACCAGCCCCTGGGGACAAGGCCCGCCACCGCCCCAACTCCACCTCCCTGCCCGCCCCAGTGGCCTGAGCTGCCTGGTCAGGGGCTGGGTGTGCCCTGCCTGTCCAGGGAGGGGGACATCAGCACCCACCTCAAAGTCCAGTTCTGCATACCGCGATTTTCGCCGCTGTGGGGACAAGTTTATGCTCATTTGTTACTGGTTCCCTAAGACTCCCGGACCATGAGTCCAGGTCCTCCCTGTGGTGAGGGAGGGCGACCAACCCCTGTCCTGCCTTCAGGGTCCACGCCAGGCCAGAGGGTGTGCCCCGAGGGCCTGTGTTCTGTGCAGGCTGCCTTTCCCTGGACTCACTAAGGCCAGCGGGGGGCTCGGGAGGTGCAGTGGGGTTGCTGAGGTTGAAGGGAAGCTGTCAGCAACAGGCTGGCAGACAGGACAGGAGCAGCTTCCTCCCGACGGCAGGACCCTGGGCCAGCACAGCCCTCCTCTCCCGGCCCCAAGGGGCCCGTCTGCCAGCTCGTCTGGAGGCTGCTCCTCCCACATGCATGTGCCAGGGGCCAGAGTCAGGGCTGGGCAGGGGTGTCCAGCTCAGCCAGACCAGCACATGCTGCCCAGGGTCAGAAGGACTGACGAGGGCCACAAGGCTGGGCTCACCCGAGGATGCACTCGGATCCCAGGTGCATCCCCAGAGGCCGAGAGCCAGGAGGGGCAGTACATCCCTCAGGCCCTACCCTGACCGGAGTCTCACATCCCACTGGTCAACTCAAGACGCCAGGTTGATATGGGGACACTTGCTGCCACACTGCCCGTTCATGAGGAGGCTAGACTCAGCACCCAGGCTGGGGCCTGAGAGGGGGCAGGGACAAGAGGCATGGCCAGCATGGGCTGCTAAAAGCTCCCTCTCACTTGGCCTGCTGCCCTGGGAGTGGGCCTGAGGGCAGCGGGTCCTGGCCAGCCCTGCCCGGCCAGTGGTGCAGGTAGAAGCCGGCCTGTCAGCACGGCCCATCTGCTGCTGCTGCTGGGGGCCGGGAGCCTCCCCTGCAGGCCGGGCCGGCCGCCCGCGCCCCCTGGGACGCCCTTAGACACCACGCTGAGTGCAGCCCAACCCGCTGGCCCCACCAGCTCAGCTGGCCCTGGTACCCTCACCTCCAAGGAGCTCACAGACAAGGTGGTGACGTTTTCGTTCTTGGTGACAGTCCCCGAGCTTGGTCCTGGGTGGGCGGAGGGCTCCCCCGTGTCCCCCAGGCTGGGAGGCGCTGGCTCCAGGGTGGGCGGTGGAGGCAGGGGCTGCTGGGGCGGTGGGGGTGGTGGGGGTGGGGGTGGCGGGGGCTGGGCAGGGGGTGCCTCTGGAGGCCCGCTGCCAGGGGGCTCGCGGGTGGGTGGGCTGCGGGTGGGGAAGCCGGCCTCGGGCGCCATGCTCAGGTGTATGAGGCGCGTCTGGGGCATCTGGTCGATGTTGATGCTGTACTTGGGCTCCTCCTTCGGCTTGGGCCGCAGCGTGGCCGTGGCCGTGGGCAGGATCACGTAGCTCGTGTCCAGAGCCTTCTCCTGGGCCCGGCTCAGCTCTGAGTCCAGCTTCTTAAAGATGTCCCCATCGCCAACGAAGGAGGACTTGGGTGCTTTGTCCTTCTTGAGGGTCAGTGAGTGGTTGGGGAAGTCGGGCAGGGGCCCACCAGGGTAGCGGGGCGAGCCATGCAGGTGCAGCTTAGACACGTTGGCCGGCAGGCTGTTGAAGGTGGACGGTGGCCCCTTGGCATGGGCCAGCTTCAGCTTCTCCTCCTCAGGCAGTGATGGCCGCTTGAGCGTGCCTGTGATGGTGGCCGTGCGGCAGGCCGCGATGTCCTTGTTCAGCACTGTGGGGTCATGAGCGGCAGATGGGGGTCAGGCAGGCCCCCAGCGGGAGGGCCCAGACAGGCCAGCACCACTGCCCCCGGTCCCACCTGCTGGCTGGCCTGGGGCACTTGCCCCTGACCCAGGCCTGGTGCGGAGCTGGCCAAGGCTCATATCTTTTTAAGCAAGGCTGGCACCTGGGTGCCCCTCTGCCTGCCCCAGCAAGAAGACAAACAACTGTCACCCACAAGTGGCCTGTCCTAGCAGCTCAGAAGGACAAGCAAGGTGGCCCTACCCAGGAGTGCAGGGACACACCAGTGCGGCAGGTGGAGCAGCCTATTCTGGGGAAGGGACCCCGGCTGGTCAAGCGTCCCCGCTGCCCAAAGCCGGCTCATGGCTGAGTCGGTGTAGGGAGGACGTGCCAGGATCTGCCCAGGAGGGCAGCAGGCCCAACCCAGGCTCCCAAGCACTCAAGCCTGCACCCTGAGGGACGCCTCCTGCCTCCCAGCACCTGGAGCCTGGACGCCTATGCCTGGCGGGCACCCTCCACTCTGAAGGTCATCTGGTCCCTGGACAGCTGGCCCAGGCTGCCTGCCCTGTGACCGGGGCTTGGCTGGCCCCACCTCCCATCCCACTCCTGATTATCCCGCCTCCACTAGCCATTGGAGGGCCAGAGCTTTCCACCACCCAGCGTCCACGGCAGCCTCTCCACACCCAGTGGTTCCATTCTCTAAAGAGCCAGACCCAACCCGGTGCCCCACCCATAATGGCCTGAGGATGGGCTCCTGTGCATATCCGGGCCAGCACTGGTGTCCACCAGCTGCTCCCTCCATCCCAGCTCACCAGGACCCACTGGTGTTAGCCACCACCTCCTGGGCGCTCCCCAGGCCCCTTGCAGGGTCTAGCCACCTGCGCCTTCTCTCCTGCAGCTGGCCCTGGCAGGTCGTGCTTCTCCACTGCCCTCTCCACCTGCACCTTCCCCCAGGGTCAAGGCCATCTCAGGAGACGCCCAGCTGGGGCTGGTCACTCAACAACGTCCCACGCCCCACGGGCCCAGACACCCCATCGCCCCCAGGTGCTCGGCTCCCTGTGTGGCAGGGCTAGCGTCCAGCACTGTGGACGGGTGGTGTGCCTCCCCTACCTGTGCCCAGCACTGGCTGTGTGGCCCCACCTGCTGGCTGCAAGCCATTCAGAAGGCACCAAGCACTCTGGGGGCCCAGTGCACACCCACGCGGCTGGGGTCCACCTGGCAGCAGCTGACATTCGTCACCTGGGACTGTCCCAGCCTCATGTCTATCTCTAGAGAAGATGCCCTAAGTACCTGACCAGCCAGAGGGAGCATGATTAGGTGGCCCCTCCACAGCCAAAGACTGCCTGCCACTGCCCCAGATACCTGGTTCCCAGGACACCACTGGAGGAAGCAGACCTCTGTTATCTGACTCTTGGGGGTGGGTTAGGAGCCTCATTAGGCAGATTCTCTTTTTGCTCTTGCTTCCAGGAAGCTCAGCACTAGCCTAGACCCCCAGTGGTGGGTCCTCCTCCCTGCAAGCTCAACCTGGACTAATGATGAAGTGAAGGCAACACAGAACAGGGTGCTTGAGGGAGGGTGGGTGGCAGGAGAGGGTGGCGATGGGTGGCAGGGTTTCATGCACAATTCCCAGCCTCGTTGCCTGGGAGGAGGGTGCAGGGGAGTCAGGCAGGTGCAGGAGAGCTGGACTGGCTGACCATCAGGGACTCAGGGACAGGTTTCTGGAGCGCCCTCAACAGCACCACAGCTCTCCTGCAGCCTCGGGGTGTGAGGGACAGGGGCCTGGTGCCAGCAGAGGGCGAGGACAGATGAGCACACAGACGCTGGGCAAAGAGAAGGAAGCAGTGGGCCGACCCGGCCACCTGCCGTCTCACCTGTCGGTCGCTCACCTGATCTACAGGCCAGATCCACATCCTTCTCAAAGTCAGTCTGCAAGACAGAGGGTGGGCAGGGGTGAGGGCCGGGGGGCAGAGGGGCTACTGCTGCAGGGAGGCCTGGAGGGCCACACACAAGGTGCCCAGGCGCTGACGCGCTGTCACCAGGCACCCAGGCCACGTCTACAGAGTCCCTGCAGGGTGGCCACGCCTCCAAACGGGCCCGCAGGCCTGGGGGTGGGAGCGTCTTCTGGGCAAGGGCGACCGTGCCTCTGAAGCAGGTGTGGACGTGTCTGGGAACAAGTGCTCCTGTCCGCGTGAGTGTCTGTGGGCGTGTTCGCGTGTGGCGTGACAGCGTGAGCGTACGTGTGCGTGTTTCCTTGTCTGTTGTTTGCGTCGGTGTCTGCAGGCACGCCTGTGTTCTTCTAAGCCCCCACGGGGCAGCTGGCCAGCCCTGCTGACCACAGCCTCCAACCCCAGGCCAGGAGCAGCCTCGAGGTCTGGAGCGCCTCCTCTCCTGGGCCCCTGCCATGGTGCTGGGGCTGAGGCAGAGAGGCCAGGGACAGGCAGAGCAAGGGAGGGACGCCAATGTGGTGACGGCCACCACTGGCCATCCTTTGAGCAGTGGCCTGGTCCCCACTGCAGCAAGGAAGGGCAGCAGCTGAGGAGAAGGGAATGACACCCAGACCCACCCTTGGCCTGGGCCCATCCCAGACCCATTCAGAGGCCACAGGGCTCCAGGGGACAATCCAGGGGACAATCCCTTGCTCTCAAACCTGGACGCTCCTTCCCTGCAAACACAGGTCGACGGGAAGACGAATCTTCCCACTAAGGTCAGGGGTTAGCCAGGAGAAGCATCAGGAAGGGCTGTGTCTCCAAGGGACCCAGTATCTGCCGGAAACCCTGACACTGCCCCTTTCTGGATGGAGAAGCTGAGGCCATCGTGGGGATTTGGAGGCCCTGCCTGGGCTGGGGTGGGTGATGCCCGAGGCCGGGAAGCCAGCCGGTGGGGGGCCAGGAGCCTGTGCAAGAGAAGGCCTAGGCATGAGCTGCCAGGTCCAGGCCAGGGGCCAGAGGGGCTGGGGGATCCTGGTTGAGCCTTGGGGCTCTGGGCTGCCCGGAGTCAGGGTCTGAGGGTGGCGGGCAGTTTCAGTATCCATGGGGGCCTGATGTGGGCAGCTGCACAGAGGCCTGGTGCTCAGGAGGCCCTGAGCTGTTGGCCTCGCAGGGGCCTGTGTGCAGTCCTAGAAGGGGCAGGCTAAGAGCTGGGCAGGCGGGCAGGGCCTCACTCAGCTGGACGTGGGATGGACGCCAGCTCCACCCTTCCCGGCCTGAAGCTCTGGATCGGGGTTCACCTTGGAGAGCCTCAGTTTCCTCAAATGCAAACTGAGCTCAGGGCTCCTCTAATGGGTGCCTCGGCCCAGGGCAGCTCTGGGCCCAGGGAGGACCCTGAGGTTCCCAGTGGGGGTGCCTGTGCCCCCAGCTCCCAGTCCTACCATGAGCTGGGCATGGCCGTTCTGGAAGGAGCCCCCCGAGTCCCCGTTGCCCTCCTCCTGGCGATCCACCACGCGGCACTTCACGGCATCCTGGACCTGGGGAGGGAGCGGGGAGCGTCAGTGTGCAGCAGGGCCCGGGGACATGGCAGCTCTGGGGTGCCCGGGAAGGGGCAAGCCTGCAGCGGGCGGGGGGGGGGAGGACTGAGAGGTGTGGTGGAGGAGGGGACAGGACATGTCCACAGCAGGCCATGGCCTCTCTCTTCATCTCTGAGACACTCTCGCGCTCTCTGTGGCATAAGAATGAAGAAACCTGGAGTCCCCTGGCTGAACGCTGCAGGCCCTGCTGGCCGGAGTCGGACAAGGACTTCCAGTGGCCTCAGACCTGTCCTTCATCACCAAAGCCTCTTCTCTCAGGCAGGCAGACGGATGGGGGTCCCTGCAGGTGGACCGGCCTGCTCCTCCTCCAGCAACACTCTCCATGAAGGGACCTCAGCCACGCGGGTGGGGCTGCAGCTTCTGCCTGTCCTGTCCATGTGGCCAGCAACTGCCAAAGGAGGTGGTGATCGGAGGTCCAGGGGTGCTTCGCGAGGTTCCATGCAGCTCTGAGCCAGGGCCAGGCTCCACGGCGGTGCTCTGCCCGCCCCTCGACGAGGTCTCAGAGATGTCTGTCCAGCCCCCGCCCCGGCCTCACCCCTGCCACCTCTGCGGCTGCCGCCCTCAGGTCTGAACTCCCAAGCTGCTCTGTCCTTGGGGTGTCCCTGCTCTTTCCTCCTCACAGGCCGCTCTTCTTTGTTCACAAAGCCAAGCAGCCAGGACAGGGGCCGGAGGCAAGATGGTGACCTCGGAGCAGACTGCAGCCCCAAGTCCATGCCGGGCCAGAATGGCTGTTGGCAGGCGGGCAGCCGAGCACCTGGCCATGGTGCCGCTGAGAATCAAGGGCACGAGCAGATCTCTGGGGCCAGGCAAGGCACTGGTAGTGCTCAGTGGTCAGGGTGAGTGGCCGTTCGGGATGGCAGGGCGGGGCTCTGGGGAGTTCCTTCCTCCGTGGGGGCTCTTCGGTCCCCCATGCCGTTTCTGCCTGGCTCCTCCCTCAGCAGTTCTCAACCTCAGTGGCCGCTTGGCGGGCTGTCAGGGGCAGGGGCTGCAGGCGGGGGCTTCCAGAGGGGCCGCCAGCTGCAGCATGGAACCCGGAACTTTAGGTCCCCTCCTCTTTCCTGCTGGCAAGTTCACGTTTTTCCAGAGGGGTGGGCTCGGGGTCAGTGTGGACTGACCAAGGGGCACTCCACACTGATGCCCATCGTCAGGGCCTTTTGGTGCACTCTTCCTGGGCAGTGCAGCCCAGCTGGGGAGGCCACGTGCCCTGATGTCCAAGAGGGACAGGATGCGCGGCTCCAGAGGGTCCTCCCTTTGGTCTCCTGAGATCCTGGGAGGGGCCCCCCCAGCAGCTCTCTGGGCTTCGGTGGCCTGGAGTTAGCTGCCCGCTGCAGTCTGCTCAGGTCATGACCTCTCCTCTTGCAGCCTGACCTTCCAGGGCTGGGAGTGCCACGGCCTTCCTGTTCAGTGTCCTCCCTCATCTATGAGCTTCTGAAGAGTCCGCTTGCCACTGTCCTAGGAGGTTCTGGGGAGAAGGGGAGGATTGGGCCTTCTTGCCCCAGCAGCCACATCCTGGTTCTGAGCCACATAGGAGTCCAGTCCCTAGGTCACGACGCACGTCCCCCCACACTCCGAGCTCTCAGGGGTCTGGATGTGACCCCTTCTGCTGCCCCCGGCCGACAGGCCACTCAGACTTGGTTGGTCCAGACAATGCCAAAAGCATCTGCTACCAGCAATCTTGTTCAGCAGGCTCCGCAAGGATGGAGCCCCAGCTGCCTCCGTCACCCTGCACCCCGAGGCCGAGGGTGTCCTGGAAGCTGTCCTGGTCCAAGGCGGCCATTCGTGGCAGCCCTGGCTCTGTGGAACTGCGTGTGGACGCTCCTGCCCAGCCAGGTCCCTGCAGCCGACAGGAGTTGGGGCCCCCAGAAGCGGTGTCTCCCGGCTCCCTCCGCAGGGCGGGCAGGGGAAGGACCTTGGTCCAGAGGGCCACCCACCTCTCGGCGCAGGATGCAGTGCACCATCACAATGACAAAGCCCTCCAGCGAGTCGAAGACCGCGAAGAGGATCTGGAAGAGGGCGGAGCGGCGGTCCGTGACGGCCAGCACAGCCGACATCCAGGTCAGCGCCAGCAGCGGCAGCACTACGCAGGAGCTCCACAGGGAGGCCCTGGGGACGGAGGGCGTCAGCTGCCCCTCCTGCCCGCCTCCCTGCCCCGCCCACCGCCCACACTCGGCCCTGCCCCCTCCCCAGTCGCTGGGTTCCTGGCCCCTGGGGCTGCAGCAGAGCCCAGTCAGAGCCTCCCCGAGGCCCAGAGCTCTAAGGGGACCTGGAGACTCAGGAAGAGGTCTCCGGGGCCCTGCGGGGGCCCAGCAAGGTGGAGAAGCTCTCTGGGAGAGTCCCAGGCTCCTCACAGGGCAGGGTGGCCGACTGGAACGGGTCAGGAGGGAGAGGGCGAGGTAGGGAGGCCCCGCGTCCAGCTTCCAGGGCCAGGGAGCGGGGACCCAGGCCTGACTGCAGGGCAGGAGGCCACTGGGGAGGGAGGGAGGGAGGGAGGCAGGAACTCAGAAAGGGAGGGACAGAAACTGAGGGACACACAGGTGAGCAGTCAGACAAGCCCAGAGGGCCAGAGGACAGACAGGGACAGACAGGGACAGAGAGACGGCGGCGTTTCCTCCTCTCCGGCTGCGGCTGCGCGCCCACCCTCCGGAGCCCAGTGCCCTACCTGTGGACCGGCCTGAGCTGCCCCTGCCCCTGCACTCAGCCAGGGATGGGGGCACCTTGGCTGTAGGCACACCACCCTGCAGCCCTCTTGCTCCCACAGCAGGGGTGCCACGCTGCCTCAGGGCTGCGGGACACACAGGAGCAGGCAAATAGCCCCGCCCCTGCACTGGGGTGACTCTCGGGGACCACTGCTGAGCCTGCTGCCTGCCTGGGCCAGGCTCCCGAGCTGCTGGCACTCTGGCACCAGGGCCACTTGCTCCCCTCTCCTTTAGGAGTCACCTTTCTGTCTCCCAGAAAGAGCAGCAGAAGGGCAGCGGGAGGACTGGACAGAGAGTGGGTCTGGGTGTGGGTCAGGGGCAGCAGGCTGCTGGGCAAGAGGCTGGGAGGGCCTGGAGTTCCGCCAGATAAAGGAGCCCCCTAACCAGTGGGGCTTGGCAGAGGCCCTGGACGGTAACACTGCTTGGTGTCTAGCACTGAGGACCCCTGTGGGCTAAGGGGACACTTCCCATCCTCATCCGCCAATCTCAGGGGCCCTGCAGAGCTGGCCACACCTGTCCCTCCCCCTCCTCCTCTGCCCCAGGCCCAACTCTCATGGCAGGCCAGCCTTGTTCCTTTCCCAGGCTGCTGTCCAGGGGGAGCTGCCCACTCTCAGCCAGCACCTAGTGGGGTGTCCAGGACAGGCTCCCTTGCTCCTGCCTCAGCCAGAAGTTCCAGGATCTCAAGGACAGCGCCCTGGTCACCCACCCTCTGGTTCAGGCCAGGAGAGGCCAGGCAGCCTCCACCTCTCCCTCCCCAGACACAGCACAGGCCCCCGGAATTAGGGCTGCGTGACCCTCGCTGACCCACACTACGCAGACTCCCCTCAAGCACTATTCACTGGGCCTTCTGTGCCAGGCACAAACCCCCAACGCCAGGGCCCTAGGCCTGGAGCCTGCCCTGCTGGGTGGGCAGGCAGCCCCTGCCCCTCCCCTCCAGGCTGCACTGCCTGCTCATTCCACATCCCGAGGCGGGCACAGCACGGCACCCACTGGCCTGCACAAGTGCCCACGCATCCCCAACGGCTCTGGGCCTTGGTTTCCTACTAAGGTGGAGTGTCTGGCAACCTGTCTTCTGCCTTCCAAAGCAGATGTTCTTGAGTCAGGGGAGCCTCTCTCAGCCCCCCACGTCACCTTCCCTGACTGTCCACAGGGAGCAGCCTCCAGGCCTGACACTTACAGCCCATCTTCCCCAGGCTGGCAGATGGCTTGGGCTTGGGGACCACATGTTACCCCCAGCCTCTGCAGCTTCACAAACACCTCTACCCATAGGCTGGGAGTCAGAGGCCTTGAGGTGTGGGGCGATCTGGGCAGAGCCTGGGGGTGCCACCCCATCTGCTGCCCCACCGAGGTTCTCTAAGGCTTCCTCAGGCTGCAGCAGAGTTTCCCACGGCCTCCCACCTGGGGTGGGTCCTTCACCCAGCAAGGCTGCTAACCCCAAATACCTGGCCCTCCCTGAGCAGGCTGCCCTGTCTCTCAGCCAGCGTGGGACCCAGGCGTGACGGCAGGTCACACAGCTTGGCTGGCCTTGTGCCTCACCCGCCTGTCAGTGTAGGGTAATCCTGCCACATCTCTGCATCCAGCTCGCCTCCTGCGGGCCCACGGCCCCGGCCCTCTCTCTTAAGGCTCCTAAAATCCTGGGATCCAGGGCCCAGCTCAGGAAACAGAGGGGCCTGGTGGGTAAGGGTCTAGGGGCTTGGCCATCACTGTGACTTGCGGAAGCCGGAGGCCTGGACGCTCAACCCTCAAGCCTGCCCACCTGAACCCACACTGCCCAGCACAGCTCAGAGCCTCTCTGAAAGCCAGTCTGCCATCGGCCGCTGACTCCAAGCCCGGCCACCAGTTCCCTTGGCTGTGGCTACATTACACACATATGCACACACTCACACACACGTGCACACCTCTAACACATCTTCACACGTTCAATCACACACACCCATACACTTAGATGCTTATACAACTACACACACCGCACACATGCACGTTCACATCCACCCACTCTCACCTCATGTGACACTAGCACACAGCACACATGCACCCACTCTTACACATGTGCACACTAGCACACACCGTGTACATGCCATCACCCTTAGACATGTTCTTGCTCACACTCATATCACAGTTTCACACTCATGCACCCCCACACAGCCCAGGCTCCCTGCCCTCCTGTGCCCAGGCTCTGGCCGGCAGCATTTTTGGGGTGTGACCAGGAAGCAGTAGCAGCCAGCCCCACACCTGGCCCTGGCCCTCGGGGGGGGGGGGGTGGCCGTGCTCCCATCCCCACCACCACTGGCCTGGGTCACTCTGCCTCCCGCCCGCCTTGCTCACGGCACAGAGCCCAGTGCCTGGAACATGGAAGAGAGAGCCTGGGGTGGGGGTGAGGCAGGGCAGAGGCCCCCGAGGAAACCTGGGGTCAGCGGCCTGGAGAGAGCAAGAACACAGAACACAGACGTGAGCGGGGGCAGGGCGGCGGGCGCCCCGTGGCGGGCAGCAAGGCACTAACACGGCACTGCTGGAGACGTCGCGGGAGGCATCGGCAGCACGGGGGACTCCGCACTCGGCACACTTGAGGGGGCGCCCGAGGGGGGCCTGGGGCAGCTGACTGCAAGTGAAACCAAAGGCTGAAACAGAAGCAAACACGTCTCATGGAAACCCACGGGGCAGAGGAAGACCAGCCAGCGGTCCCCAGGGCTCGTGCCGCCCAGGGCCCCGGCTGGGGACGAGGAGCTGGGTGTGGGCAGGGCTCCTGCTGCCTGGCTGGCGGCTGGGTCTGGTGCCCAGGATGAGCTGACGGTAGGCGCATCTCTCCTGGAGTTTGCACAAGCCAGCAAACGCCCGAGGGAGGCCCCTGCCACCCTCCTCTCCACCCTGGGTACGGAAGCTGGGCTGCCTGCTTGCTGAGCGGGGGTAGGCATCCGCCTGCTGTCCCACAGGGGCCAGGCGCTGAGGGTGGTGGACGGGGGAGCCCTCCTGTCTGGGAGCTGACCTGGGCAGTGGCCCCTAGTCGTGCAGGTGTGCCACCTCTGCATGAGCACCCAGGGATGTGTGTGCCTTCCACCTCTGTGGCGAGGCCAGGCTACGGCCCAGGAGGCCCAGGCTACAACAATGCCTGCTCCACCAGCTATCTGCCCTCCTAGGCCTCAGCAGGCCCAGCCCCAGGGGAGTCGGCTTCAGTGGCAGGCAGGCACGGGCAGCGCTCTGCACTGCACAGATGCAGCCAGAGTGGCCGTCCTCGGTCCTGGCTGTGCAGCCTAGGGCCGCTCTGGGGTGTGACCGCCCATCCTGGAGCGCGTAAGGTGGGGTGAGCCAGGCCTAGCAGAAGCCTGCTGCGACCTCTGTGCCCAGACTGGGAGCCAGGGCCCAGTCACAGGCACACAGCTCAGTGAGGAAGCTCCCAGCCTGCTTGGTGGCTCCAACCAGGACCAGGGACCAGGACCCAGTGGGCACCCAGGGGAGACTCTGCCGCTTCTGTCCAATGAGGCGAGGAGGAGGAGCCAGGAAGAAAGAGACAGAGACAGAGAGAAAGAGAGACACCAAGCAAGACTGGCACAGAGGGGAGGGGACACGGGTGGGGCCCCACGCAGCTGCCAGTGGCAGGACAGACAGGCAGCAGGCAGAGGGAGGGAGGGGGGCTCACGGGGGCAGGGCGGGCTCCCCCCGACTCTGGCTGTGGCCAGCCTGCCCACCCAGAGCACCACGCACTGTGTGCCCTCTGAAGGAGCATGACTCCTGATGTCCCTTCCTCCCCGTGATGAAGGCCCACAAGAACAGAGTCAGCTGCACAGACAGGTAAGGTCCTGCCTCAGGCCACCCGGCCAGCCTGGTGGGGAAGGGTGCCCCACCACCCAGAGCCCAGCACAGGAGGGTCTCTGTGAGCAGTCTCGCTGTTCCTGGGGATCCTAAGGGCCCCGCCCTGACACCATCAGGTGGGGAACCGAGGCACAGGGCGAGGCAGCAGCTGCTGTGTCTACGCTTCAGTCCCCCCTGCCTGGGCCCCCACCCCTGCAGTGCCAAGCTGAGTGATGGGCACCTCCATCTGTGGGCTCAGGGTGGGTGGGCTCTGGGACTGGCAGCCCAGAGTGTGCAGGGTGCCACGGCGGCCCAGGCCTACCCTGCCCGCTCCTTCAGCTTCTTGTCGGTGATGCCATCTTTGGACACGAGTTTGTTGAACACCAGGATCCCAATCACCATGTTCACCTGCCAGGCAGAGAGCAGAGGTGTGGGCAGCGCCACCCACGCGCTCCAGCCAACAGCGGCCACACCCCTGGGGCCCTCAGCTCAAGGGCCACCTCCAGTGCTTCCACCAGGTGGCCTCCAGTGCCAGCCAGGCGAGGGGCCTCAGTGGGCCCAGTCCAGCTGCTGTCCATGCAGAACCTCGCCTCCTCCAGCCCCACGTGCCAGTGCCTGCCCCTCCCAGTGCTCCACCTCAGACACTCTCCCCAGCCCATCCTGGGGACCCCTCTCTGACCTCTCTGCTCGCCACCTCCCCTGGGCACCCGCATCCTGGGAGGTTCTTGGGGGCTCAGATATGTCTCCCATGCTGCTCCCCAAGCTACTACCAAGACAAAAGTCATTCCCAGAGGGCCCACACGAGCCCGGGCCCAGGGGTCCCTAGGGTCTGCCTCTGCTGGAATGAGACATGTCCCAACTCACACATAACGCCACACCCCACTCACTGCAGGAGAGCTCGTGAGCTCCCCGGGGCCCCACTCTATAGAAGGAACCTGGGCTACCCCACCCAGAGGCCAGCGCTGTGACGCTGTCCCCATTGCTTTGCAGGCTCAGGATCCCACACAGGGACTGCCCACTGGCGCTCCGAGAACAGGAAGTCCCCAGGAGACACAGCGAGGGAGCACCTGGCCTAGGTAAGGCCATCCTTCCTGGGCACCTCACTGGCTGCCAGGACCACGTCAGAGACGTGCAGCAGGCCCTGGACCAGCCACCTGCCTGCAGAACTGCGCTGGGCCCTGTCATGAAGGGTCCTTAGGCCGGGGTCCATAGCACACAGGACCAGCAGGGATGCTCCCTGACTCTTCAGCCCCCTCCCTGGTCCCCAGGTGCCTGCCATTAAACAATGCCTGGTCTTGCTGGCCAAGGCCACTGTGGATGCCCTGCTCCAGCCCCTCCCACTCGGGCACCTTCAAGGAATAAAGAACAGGGATTCTGGTGGCCAGGCCTGTGAGAAGGGCCTGGGACTACCTGTGGAAGCTGCCCACACGTTGGCACTGACGCAGCCCAGGATCCCCCAACCCAAGCCCTGCAGGGTCTGCCATCCAGTGCCCAGCGTCCACCTGTCTGACACATTCAGCGTGTGCTGTGCCCCACCAGAAGGTGGGGAGGGGGATATGGGTCAGAGACAGAGAAGTGCCCACCCCAAGCTGGACCTAGCATCTTGATGCTCTGCTCTTCTAGCAGCACCAGGAGGCAGGCATAGGAGCCGGGCTCAGAGCTGGGTGGGCCCAGCAGAGGCCAGCAACCCCAGGCAGGTCCTCCAGTCCCAGTCCCCCAGTCCATCTGCTTGGGGACAGCAGCCTTGGGCACAAGGTGCTAGTTTTATGTCTCTCACAAAAAAAAAAAATGGACAGGAAACTCGAGGACCATGAAGGGAGGACCCCTGGCCCCTACTAAGGGGAAGCCCTGGCCTCTGTGCCCAGCTCTAAAAGCTGTGTGGTGGGCACACATGCGGAGTCCTGGCCTGCATGTTCCCAGCGGCTCCAGCTGTCTGTCTGTCCATCTGCCCCCACCCACCCCTCACTCACCAAGCCTGCTCGGACCTCCTGACAGGTGTACGGGGCCACGGTCAGGCAAGCTGTGCCACAGGGACCCAGTAACACTCTGGACCCAGTAAGCACCCTGGGGGCAAGGTCGAAGCAGGGCAGTAGGAGCTGCCCACTCCAAGGTCAGGGCTACCCCAGGTGGGCACTCCCAGGTCAGCCAAGGATGAGGAAGAAGCCCAGGCCAGGGTCAGTACCAGCACAACGGCAGCAGCTGGTCCCACGAAGGCGTACAGAAGTCCCCCCTCCAGGGAGAGCCAGCAGCTGCAGGGAGAGAGGCTGTGAGGACCCCCGCCCTCTAGGACGACAGGAGCAGCGCCTAGTGAGCACCTCCTGCATACAGGGCACTTCACACACTTGGCTTTGCGATCCCCAGGAGCCCCAGAGGGCCAATGTCATCCCTGCTTCAGATGGAAGAAGGCCCAGCACAGGGGACACGCCTGCTCAGAACCACACGGCAGGGTCCAGGCCAGCAAGACCAAGGTCCTTCTGCTCTGGACGACGCACCTGGCCTGGCCCTTCCCACTTATCAGCCCCACACCGCCCTCACTGGAAACCACCAGGTGCCCACAGAACCATCCCTGTGGGACACTGGGGTGCTACAGGGCATCCCCTGTGGCCGGGAGTGTCCACGGAGCACACTCATCCTCACCCTTGAAAACCCACTGCGGCTTCTCCCCCTTGCTCCTCCTCTCCTCTCTGGGGCAGGCCACATTTCCCGCCCGGCACTCACCCCGCCGGGCTCCAAGCCATCTGCACCGAAGCCTGACCCCCTGCGCAGCCCGCTCAGGGCTCCCCAGCATGCTGCCGCTGCGCCCCTGGGCCCCACAGAGCCACGCCCACCTGCCCAGGGGACCTCGCTCCCCACCTGCCCCACCCCGCAACCCTGCCGCACTCTGCCCACCCCAACTCCCCTCCTGAGCCCAGGCCCTCTTCCCCACCAGGGGACCCCATATTGCCTTTAAGATAAGCCCCAAGTGTCCCAGCTCAGCATTTAAGGCTCCCAGGACCTGGCCCAGATGACCCTTTAAAAGGTCCTCAGAGACTTCATCTGTGAAGTGGACCCTGCCCCCGCCTTGCCCCAAAGGCTCATGGGAGGGAACCTGCTGAGCTGTCCGTGGGCTCAACACCTGTGGAGGGTGCCGAGGCCAGGGGACTATGCCCCAACAAGAAGGTGCACCTGAGGGTCTGCTGGCCCCGCCCATTTCTCTCAACCCCCTGCCCACACCTGGGCAGGAGCCAGGGCCTGCCTGAAGGCTCAGCTTCCACCCAGGGCCCGCCCTCCCAGTCTCCCTGGGACAGCACCCGGCCAGACAGGGCAGAGGGCATGGCAGCCCTCACCCTCCCAGATGGTCAAAAGTCAGGGATCCGGGTGGTGTCACCATGCCCCCACCCCCCTGACTCACTAGTTCATCGTGCTGTACCCTCTGGCCTTGGTGAATCCCACAGAAATGGCCACCACCAGCGCAGGGAGCCCTGCAGAAGGACAGAAGAGCCGGTTGGCCATGCTGAGCCCTGCCGAGGGCGCAGCAGGGACATGTCTCAAACCCCAGAGGACAGTGTGTGAGGGGTGGACAGGAGGTCGCTGAAGGAGAGGGCTGGGGGACAGGACGGCCAGGCACACCTGGGTCTCACGGAGCCAGGAGGCGTGTTTCATGTAAGCCTGTTCTAAGTACTGCTCAGAACACTCCTGCTGAAGAGCTGCTTGCTCTCTGAAGGTCACCTTGAACTGGGCCATCTGAATGGACCCGGCAAAGAGGGAGGAGCCCCAGGGCTCAGGAAGACTCACAAGGGGAGGGCGGGTGGAGAGGGCCGCAGGACAGGAAGGAGAGCAGGGGCTAGGACGGAGGGTGGAGGAGGCTCAGAGAGGGCAGCCCACCCGCTGGCCAACACCCGCCGAGGCCCGCCCTGTGGACGCTCACCCCAGCCCAGGCAGAGGAAGCGCTTGCGGATGAGCCGGTTCCGCAGGCGGCCGGTGACCGCCATGTAGGACTGCCAGGCCTCGGTGAGCACCCAGCAGAAGGAGGAGAGGAAGAAGAAGTGCAGGAAGGCCGCCACCAGCGTGCACACCACCTGGGGGCGGGCAGGGCGGGCAGGGCTGGGCAGGCGCTCGCCGCCCCTGGTGCCAGCGCCCCCAGCACCCAGCGTCCCCAGCTGTGACCAGGCCAAGTCCCCAGGCAGGAAGCAGCTGAGGGGTGACCCAGTCCCTGCCGAGATGGGCGCTGAAACCTAAGGCTGAGGGTGGGTGACTGCCAGGGACAGACCCCTCCTCCCGGCTTCTACCAGACGCCAGCCCAGGAGCCCACTCATGCAATGCCTCTGTCCCCTACAGGTTGGGGTGGCCCCTTGAGGAAGAAGAGGCTCCCACCTGAGGTCTGAGCCTGCCATGTTTAGTGGGAGGGGGCAGCAGGACGGGGCACTGAGGAAGGGCAAATCAGCATCCCCACTGTGAGCTTCCAGACTCACTGCTGGCTGGAGGAGGCCCCTGCTGCGGGACCAACCCACCCCACCCGAAGACACTGGAAGACACTGGGACATGCACATGACGGCACAAGGCCACCTACCTTGTTGCGGGTCTGTGTCTGCCCAATGAGGATGAGGGCATTGGAAGAGATGATGGACAGACAGAAGTTGATGAGGATGACTGACCGCTCTGAGCGGATATACCTGTGGGAGAATATGGGGCCTGAGGTTAGCCTTCTCTTCACAAGAGCTAGGGTCCTTACCCCAAGACCAGGGCCCTACCTACCTCCTCCACGCAGTCACGGTCACCATCACCACCACTATTCCCCTCACTACTTCAATAACACCACAACTACCGCCATCACACCATTAGTACCACCACCATCACTGTCACCACCACCACAACCATCCCCACCATCATTATCACAATCTCACCACTCCCACCACCACCACCACCATCACTGTCACCACCACAAACCTCACCACCACCATCACCAGCACCAGTATCTCCACCACCATGACCACCACCATCAGGATCAGTACCACCATCATCACCACCACTACCACCACAACCATCACCACCACCATCAGCACCCGTATCACAACTACCACTATCACTATCACCATTAAAATCACCATCACAACAATCATCACTACCACCATGACCGTATCACCATTACACCACCATCACCACACTACCCCTATAACCACCAACACCACCATCACCATCACCATCACTATCACCACAACAACCATCACTGCCACCACAACTACCAACTCTACAACCACCAGCACCATAATCACCATCACCACCATCACATCAACACCATTATCACCACCACCATCAGTGCCATCATCACTACCAACACCATCACATCACCATTATCACTATCACCACCACCATCACCGTCACCACCACAACCACCATATCAACGCCATCATCACCACCACCACCACCATCAGTACCACCATCACTACCAACACCATCCACCATTACCACTATCACCACCACCATCACGTCACCACCAACACCGTAATTACATGGCCATCATCACTACCATCATCACCACTAGCCCTTGGTACCTAGATCCACCCAGGTGCAGAGCAGAAGGTACATGGCTGAGCTTTGGGGGCCCTGACATAGCTCTGAAGTGCTGTGTGACCTTGGGTATTTCCTATCCCTCTCTGGATCCCGATTCCTCATGGACCCATCAGAACTGTCCCTGCCTGCAGCTGACAGGGGCGCTGGGACAGTCAGTAGGGCTCTGAGGAAGGTGCTCTGACAACCTCAGGAGCAAAAGCTCTGTGAGCCAGACCTGGAGCTCGGGGCCCCCCAGCCCTAACCCCAAACTTCTGGGGGCCCCAGTTCCCAGGGGAAGAGCTATGGGGACACGGATGCCGTGGCTCCCTGCAGACCCCAGGAGAGGAGCAGAGGACGCTCTGCTCTGGGGCAGGATAGCGGAGGGTGCCTGCTGCTAATGGCGACCCAGTCACCAGGAGAGCGCCTGTCTCCCTCCCCACCCAGCCCGCACTGACCTCTTACTGCCTGACCCCAGGCGGTGGCCAGGCCATCAGTCCCAATTACTGGCTGACAACTTGCTGCCTGAAGAGCAGAAGGGGCCAGGCGCGGGGGCCGCACACCCTCTGGACATCCTGGGTGGCCGCCTCGCCAGCGACCTTGAGCTCACCCTTCTTGCTGTAAACTACTTGATGGGTGGGGACCAGGGAGGCCTAGATTTAGACGGTAGGGAGACTGGCCACTCAGCCACCTGGTCACAGACCTTCAGTTAAGGACACACCGCTGTGACTACCCAGCCCCATGCTCTGACCCAAGCCTGCATCCGCCATGGCCCCACCCCTGCGTGCACACCCCCTGGTGTGTATGGGGTGGACAGACGGGGCCCATCGCAGGCCTGGGGTTCTTGTGCTGAGCCCCTGTGGCCTCGAGGGAAGGAGCGTGGGGCAGGGCAGCAGGAGAGGTTCTGGGCCCTGAGCCTGGTCCCAGGCTGTGGTCCTAGGAGCTATGGCCTTGCAGGTCCCATGTGAGGACACACAGGGGTATTAGGTGACCAAGAGGACTCGGTGGGCAAGGGGCAGGTGCTTCACGTGCTCCTGCCGTGGGGCTTGGGGTGGGCATCCACCACAGAGTGTGTCAGAAGAAATAGGCACCTCTGTAGTGCGGACCCAGCTGAAGCAAGGTGTGGCCACACGTCCACCCTGCCCGGCTTCAGTGGGACAGGGACACTTGCGTATGTGGACACAGCAATAAGAAACAGAAAACAGGTGTGGGCGGGCTGTGCAGAGGGCCGGCTGGGGCCGCAGGCGGAGGAGAGGCGGGACACAGGTCCTGGGAGGCGATGGAGCTCGGGGCCCACCTCCCCCAGCCAGGCATCCCGGGGTGGGCACCCACCTCCACACGGACACGTAGATGATGACCAGCAGGAGCAGGGTGAGGGACGACACGCCACAGCCCACGATGAGCGTCACGGACGGCACCGGCGCCTTCTCCATGCTCTAGGTGTGGGAGTGCAGGGTGAGCAAGGGTCTCCGTGCTGCTGGGCCCGAGGCGGCTGACCACCCACGCTCGAGGTCCCAGGGTCTGTGCTGCTGCCTGTCCCTGAAGGGGCTCTGGGCCCTTGAGGGGAGCCCCACGGTGTCATGACAGTCTCATGGTAGGCCCCCAGAGACCCTCTGCTGCCATGGCGCCGAGGACCCAAGCCCAGGACCTCCTGTGCAGGTGGGTCTGGAGCAAAGGCCCCGCCCCACAGGAAGCTCTCGGGCCCTGAGCCTGGGGCCTCCACTGTGCGCAGGCGCGGCCGCCCCTCCTCCCACAGCCCCAGCAAAGCTCTGCTTCCTGCTCCCTCCTGCCCTGCTCTGGCTGGCACCTCAGTTTACCCCCACGTCACAGCTGTCCCTGCTTGTCCCCACCTCAGGGCTCTTGCTGCAGGGCGTCCCTCTACCTGGAGTACCATCCCCTGGTCCAGGGGACTGGCACCTTGGCCATCTGATCTCAGTGTGCCCCTTGGGGCCAGGGCCAAGCCGCCCCTCACTCCCCACCACGTGCCCAGCGTACTCATAGAAGGACACGGTGACCCTGTGCAGCCCACCATCCACGCCGTGAGCCTCCTGTACCCCAGCAAGTGAGGAACTGAGAGACCCCCGGCCCCTGCCAGCCTGCCGCCCCAGGCTCTCGGGGAGAGGAGGAAGTGAGGGGGAGCTGGGCGGGAAGGCGGCCCGGGGAGGGGCTTCTTACGGGCCCCTCCATCCCGAAGATGGCTGGCACTGGCCGCTCTCAGACCTTTTCACTTGACACTGGCCACCCCGAGGCTCCTTCTGGTGCCTCAGCGCCGGGGCCTGCTCCGTCCACTGCAACCTGGCTCCCCAGCCCCCAGCCGCCCAGGCTGCCCCTGCTCTCCACACCCCTGGCCTGCTCCTCCCCACGTGCAGCAGGACCACCTCCCGGGCAGCCTGCCTGCCCCGGGTCTTGTGGTTGTCACCCTGACCCGCACAGAGGCTGTCAGACTTCCTGGCCCAGGAATAGGAGGGGAGGGCACAATCTGGGAAAACCGAGGACACTGTCCAGGGCCACCCAGGCAGCCAGGGTTCTGGCAGCACAGCAGGCCAGCTCACAGACCCGGGACTCCCCATGGGGCTGGGGTCCTGGGGCAGACAGGGCATGGCCACGGCCAGAGCTCCTGGCTCTAGGATGAGCTCATCTTGGAACTCACGGGATGACCTCAGCGTCCAGTGTGTCCCCAGCCCCTGGCTCCCCAGGAGCTGTCCTCAATGCTATCACCCTAGACGGGACACCCAGACGACTCTCAGGGTCAGCCGTCCTCACGTCTTCTTGGGCACACCTGGCCCTCAGAGCCCTTCTGCCCTGGGCCCAGAGCACCCCTGGGCTCTGGCCCCCGAGACCCACCTTCCTGCAGACCTTGTCGCAAGGCCTTGGGCTTTGGCTGCCCCAATCTCTACCCAGGCACCAGGTGGAGGTCTGGCCTTCGGAGACCTGCTGTGAGGTCCTTACCACTTGGGCTTGTCCCCCCACCCCAGCAACTCCACGCTCCCTCCCATGTTTCTCCAGACCCCTCCCGCCAGGCCAGAGTGAGCCTGGTGGAGCCTATTTGGGGCTCCACCCTGGGGTGACACAGACCACAGGTCCCACATGCCTACGCACGTGCTGACCCGAGACAGACACAGTGCCTTGCACAGCACAAGGGCACTGGCCTCCCGGGCCTGGCGCCACACCTGGCTCCTCACAGTGCTGGGGACCTTTGCCACATGTCCTGGCTGTCCTCAGGCTCTGCAGGAGACCCAGACCACCAGCCAGGGGGTCTCACCTCCCCAACCCTGCGTTAGCTGTCCCACAGCACGTTGACGCTCTCCTTGGGAGCGCTGCTCGATCCCACCCCTCCTCGAAGCAGTGACCCCCGGGGTTAGTCCATGACCTGTCACGTCCCCAGCGGGGAACCTGCACCGGGCTGGGAGGCCAGGTGGACAGGGATGTGTGGGCAGGTGGCCTCAGCAAACAGTCCAAGGCCCTGAGCAGGCCACAGGCGGCTAAGCAACCGTCTCGCGCCTGTGCCATGCTGGCTCCAGCCCCGACCTCTGGCCATCTGCCCCGTCTGCCCTCCGTAGGCCTGGCCGTCGCCAGCCTGCCAGCTCCCCCACCTGCCCCTCCCCGCCCAGCATCGGTCACTCCTGACAGCCTTGCCCAGCGCTGGGTGCTATGGCACAGGGAGAGGCCACAGCCCCAGGACCAAGGGTGCTGGGGACCTCCAGCCTCATCAGGAGGGCCGGCTGAGACCTCACGGCTGAGGGACTGGCCCCAACTCCCACAGAGCAGGCACACTACCAGGCCCCCCACTGGAGGCCAGCTCCTCCGCCAGGCTCAGCACTGCCCTGGGGCCTTTGCACAGGCTGCTCTGCTGCCTCGTGCTCTTCCCCTGACCTTCACGTGGCTGGCCCTTCTCAGCGAAGTCACCTCCTCACAGAGGCCCTCCCTGAACACTGCGTCTGAACCCACCTCCTGGGTCCACCCCATCACCACCTTTGACCTCTCCAGGGTCCTGGTCACCCCAAATGCCCATGGCTCTTCTTGTGTGCTTGGTTACTGCCGTTTCCACCACATGAGCTCCCTGCCCCTCATCTTCTCCCAAGTCCTCTATACGCCTCGCGTCCCTGAGACTGACTTCCACCCTGCAGTGACATCTTCCCTGTTACTGCTCCCACACCATCTGTGGCTCCCTATTGCTCACAAGGCTGACCCAACTCCAGCTACATACTAAACCCTGAACTCTGTCATATCCTGAGCTTCCCCAGGTCACACCCTGATCCCTGAACTCAAGTCACGTGCTGAGCCTTCATCTCAGTCACATTCCGGGCCTGATCCTGGTTGCACACAGCTGGGACCTGGCCACAACTCGCTAGCACAGCTGGAGGCCCACTGCAGACGCAGGACAAAACCGTCCCTTATGACCATTTACTCCGTGCCAGGCTGTGTCAAGAGCCATAAATACATCACCTAGTTTGATCTCTGCTGCAGCTCCAGGACAGGTGGCGTCGGCCCACGCACAGGTGTGACTCAGAGCCATTACTCAACCTGCCGCGGGCAGCAGCAGCACCCAGCGGCAGCCCAGCCTCTGCACCCACCCTGGCCCTGGGCCTGCTTCGGGGCTCCTGGGTTTCGCCCACCCTAGCTCCCAGGGTCCAACCCCGGCTCGACCACCATCTCAGGCCATGGTTTGGGTGGCAGTCCCTGAGAGCCACCCTATGCCTGGGCACCACAGCCTCTGCCCACTCAGACCCAACTCCCCACATGCAGCATACCCATCTCTCCCTGTGGCCACCAGCTCAGCCCCAGCCACTGCCCCACCTGCCTGATGTTCCACCTGGCTCCCATGGGATCCTGCAGCATCTGGACCCCACTGCCATCTTGCCCCCAGGTCCTCTGCACCGGCTCCCCCTGCTCACCTCTGGAGGGAGCGGAGCCAGCCCCTGGGCCCAGCCTCGGTGGTGCGGTGCTCTCTGCCCCAAGCCTCTTGCCTCCCGCATGTACCAGGCAGCTTTGTGCCTTCCTCTCCCTCCGGGATGGCTGTCACTACCCCCCGACAAAACTCAGGTGAACCCTGTGCACCCGCCAGGACTCTGCTCTGAACCCTCCCTGGGCACTTCCCTAGACCCCACCCAGGAGGGACAGAGGCTGCTGCTGTGGCCCCAGAGCTCACCAGGCCTTCCCTCTGCCAGCCTGGGCTGCCCAGGACTGGCTAAGCATGTCTGCTGTCCACATCAGCCTGGGCCCTCCACACTCTGGAGCACAGCTCACCCTCAAGAAGGCCAGTGCAAGGTGGGACGGGGCAGTAGGGTGGGAGAGAAGGCAGCGAGGGGTCTGGTATTAGTGAGCACTGGGCAGAGGCCGTGCCTGCCCTGGTTCCTTCTGGTCAGTTTCCCTCTGAGCTGAGGCCTGGGCCCAGCACCGGGAGCCCAGATGGAGCAAGACAGCCAAGCAGAGCTGACGACCATCCCATCCTGCAGATGAGGACACTGAGGCTGTGAGAGGCAGACAGCCAGCTGAGTCCCAAGGTCAGTGTGTGGCCCTGTGCCCACAGCCTCAGCTGCCCTGTCTGGGGACAGGTTGCCCCACACTGTGACCGCCGACCTGATGCTAGAAGCCCCCACCCCAGAAGTGCCCCTGATCACTGCCACGGCAACCAGGAATGCAGCACCTTGTCTCCCACTCCCGCCCACCAAGAGCGGCCTCCATTCTCTCCCTTATAGGCACCTGGCTCAGGTCAGCTCTGCATGGAATGCCCGAAACCCCTCCGCTCAGTCCCACAGTGAGAGAGCACTGCCCCCAGTCACCACGAGCCCTGGGCACAGGACAGAGTTCCTCCACGTTATGGGGGAAACCAAGCTCAGAGGGATCAAACAGGCCACAGTGGGCAGAGGCAAGCCCGAGCCTGCAGACCCCGACACTGGCTCGACGGCCGGGGGCTAGAGGGGAAGCAGGACTGCAGCCCATTCCACTTCCCCCTGCCCTGTCCTGCTCACACTGCCCAGGGACAGCAGCCCCTGGGGCCCACGGCTGGCACCGTGCTGCGTGCCTCAGCCATGTGGGAGCCCCGGGAAAGCCATGCAGAGGCAGCTGCTGCCTTCGTGGTGACGGCCTCTATGCAGAAAGTCGCCTCTTCCAGGGAGGCTTCAGGTGGACCTGCTGCTGCCCCCAGGCCCTGCCCACCTGAGGATCCTGCCTACAGGAAGGCCAGGAACACAGACCCTGTCTGGCCCAGGCCCACCCCAAAGCCTTGAGTGAGTTCCTCCCCAGGTCTCAGTTTTCCTGCCTGTCAATGGAGGAGCTTAGTAGCAATGACCTAAGATGTCCCACTTGGGTCTAACCCTGGGGAGGGAGGGGACAGGACTCTAGCTGGCAGTACCAACTGCCAGACTTCTAGAGACAAAGGTGGCGGCCAGAGTGTCCTGAGAGGCCCACAGATCTCCTCCCAAGGAACCTGGGTTCCGTGAGGGTAAGCCATGCCTCTCAAATACCCAGGATCCGGGACCACTCCACACCTGCCACCTTGGACCCTTCCACACCAGGTCTGGGCAGAGCCAAGAATTGGGGGCTTACTCCCTCCTTGGTGGGCCTGCCTGGCCGGCTGGTCTGCAAGGGAGGGCCTGGCCTTCCTGGGGCAGGTGGGTGCAGCTCAGTCAGCCCTTGGGTGAGGAGAGAGCCCACCAGCCCCAGTGAGGCTGGGCCAGTGCCCAGGGCCCCAGCCAGCAGGCTGCCCCAGATGCGGTCTCCATGGGAACCGACAGCCCCCACAAGAATCACAGGAACAAAAAGGAGGCCCAGAGATGACGGGGCCTGCCTGAGGACTTGGGCCAGGCCCAGCAGCCTCTGCCACCCCCAGAGCCCTGCCTGGGGACACAGCCACCTCCGCAGACCAGGCTCCATCTGGGTGGGTGCAGAAGGGCTCCAAGAAGGTAGCAGCACACCCTCCTCCTTGTCCTGGGCAGCCAGCGGCCAAGTGAAGGGGCATGCCAAGCCCCCCAGCCCCAGGCGCCCCACAGCCAGCAGTCCTCACTCCCCTGGGGACTGGCTCTCTCCAAGGTCCCAGGCCTCCAAGGAGAGCCGAGTGGAGACCCACCCGGCAGTCACTTCCCGAGGGTCCTGGGCCGCCCACTCGCTCCCACTCACCCTCTCCAGTCCCGGGACCCGAGAGGGCTGCTGGGCGCAGCGACCCCGGGAAGCCGGCGGAGACGGGCGCCCTCCCTGCTCCCGCCCGCCGCCGACCCCGGCGCCCCGCCCCCGCCCCTCCCGCGCCCGCCGGGGTCTCACCGCGTCGGCGCTGAGCTGGGCTAAGATGGCGAAGGTGGAGAGCCGGTCACAGAGGCAGCGCGTCCGGAGGGCGTCGAGGGGCACCGTGCGGCAGCCGCGCCACGACCAAGGCCCGAGCTGCGGGGGGGCGGAGGAGGAGGGTCTGGGGGCGGCGGGACACGGGGAGACAGGCAGCGTCAGCGGCGGCGGCAGGCGGGCGGCCCGGCCCCGAGCGCCGCCGCCGCCGCCGCCGCGCCCGGCCCGTCCCGCCGCCCGCACCTGCGCCCGCAGCCGCGCGCGCCCCGCCGCCGCCGCCAGGCCCCGCCGCCCGGGCGCCCATGGCCGCCTCTGCGCCCGCCCGCCGCGCGCCCGAGAGCGGAGAGCAGCCCGCGGGAGCGCGGGGCGCGGGCTCGGCGGGGAGGGCGGGCGCTGGCCCCGCGCCCGGGCGGCCCCGCGCCCCCGCCGGCCCGCGGGAGGGGCGCCCCGAGCGAGGACGGGCCGCAGGGGCGCAGGGCACACGTGCTGCGGGGCGCGAACCCAGGGGCGCGGGGGCGCTCTCGGAGTCGGCGAGGGGCCGCTCCAGAGCGCCCCGGCCCCAAGGCCTAGGGCGCCCGCAGGATCTGGTGACCTTGGGACTGCCTCGTCCCCGCAGCCACCTCTCCCAGGCCTAGTCCCCCTGGTGTCCACCGCTCATCTCGGAACTCAGCCTTCCTGCCGAGAGGTGGCCCACAGCTGGAAGCTCCCCCTCTGGATCAGATCGGGCCCCCTGTTTCTCTAGGCCTGCCCTGCCCTGTTTTCATTTAAGCAAAGGGCTTGACAGGTTCTTGTGCACCACCAGGAACGGAACTGTTCACAAATCACACCCCTTATCCCTTCTCATGCTCCCGGAGCCACTTTCCCACAGCCTTCCTGGTAGCCCTCTGTCCATCCCCCCAGCACCCAACCCTCACACCTTTGGCCTGGGCTGAGCCCCTGTCCTGACCCCAAGGCTCTGCCCAGCAGGTGAAGGGGATGGGATGCACCCTGAGAATTTGAGGTTGCCAGAGCTGCAGCAGGGGGTCATCTGAACCCAGCGCAGAGAAAGGCCTCAGCCCTCCCCAAGTCACTCCAATCCAGGACTTGCACCGGGGCTTCAGAAGACAACCCAGGGTCTTCTCCCTGCCAGAAGGTCTTCCAGCCAGCTGCAACTTCAACCCATTGCCACCCAGCAGTGATGGGGCTACAGGTGCTTTCCAATCTCAGGGGGTCTCTAGCCCACCCCTACTATACCAATGAGGACTTCAAAGCCCAGACCCCAAAGGGACCTGACCAGTTACACTGTGGACCAATGCTCTGTCCAGCTACTCTTCCCCAGAGGATTCCAGAGAACTACGCAAGTGGGTGTGCGTACCCAGAGAGTGCTCCTCAGACACCTGGCTCTCAATCAACCCCGCACCTAGGCTGCACCCTTGCTGCATGGCCTTGAGAGGTTGCCTAATGCCCCTGGCCCCGGTTTCCTCATCTCTAAAGTAGGGGTTGGACATGCCTGAGTGTATGCTGGTGGATGGCAGTTCTGGGCATCTGAGAGTCCTGAGCTGTGCCCATCAGCTCTGGGTGGCTGCACCATGCTCCTTTCCTATTGCTAGCAGTGGAGGGAAGCAGCAGCAGGACCTCTGAGATTTAGGCACTGGAGAAGGGACATGCTCTGAGTGGGCAGAGGACCCCCAAGGATGAGGACATCCTTAGCATCCACTTTTCTCTGAGGCTCAGAAGGAAGGATTTGCTCCAGAGAAACAAAACAGTGTCTTCAAGTCAGAGGCAGCTCAAGGTGGGGAGGAGGGCCCGGGAGTTAGCCTTGGGCTCTACAGGGTTAAGTCTGGGCTGTGTGGCCCCTCCCCTCTCTGGCCTGCCTGCTCACCCTGAAAGGCCATGTGGAAGGCCAAGTTCCGGGGCAGGGTTTGGAGGCCAGAGGCTCCTTTGTCTGAGGACCTCTCTGTTCCTAGACGAATGCTGATGTATAAGCTGTGAAAGGCCTGGACCTGGAGGCTCTTTGGCTCCAGGGACAACTCTGTCTGAGCTTTTGGGCCTCTGGCCCCAAAAGGTAGCCTCAGCACTGACCCTAGGCCCCCAGGCTCCGGGATGGAGGCCAAGGAGCTGGCCTGCTCAAAGCAGCCTCACCCCTGGCCTGCTGCCCTGATGCGCAACACAGGATGCCCCTAAGAAGTCCTCTCTCCTTGAGAAAAGCGCACGTCCTGCTGACCACTGAATGGACAGGATCGGAGAGTACGAAGGAGAAAGGAGGGAGCACAGTCCCTGGAAATCCTGGAGCTCTGAGTGGCACCCCAGGTCCTGCACCCCTGCCAGAGGTTTCCCAAGGTCACACTCAGACATGTCAGCCATGGCCCCCTTGCCAGCTCCCTCCCACCCCCCACCACTTCCAAGCAGGAGCCACTGAGCCCCTAGTGTCTGCGATGGTGAGGCAACAGTCCCAGACCTGGGGTGGCGGATCAGACACAGCCAGCCAGCACCAGGAGACAGCCAGGTGCTGTGCTTCAGGTTTTGTGGTGGCCGCTAGGCCTGTCCAGAGCAGTCTGTGGCTGCTCTTAGGGTAGGACTCTGGCCAGCCAATGTCGAGTTCAAGTCCCTGTTCTGCTGTGCACAGCCCAGGTCTGGGCACTAGCCAGCCCTCCTGCTTGGACTCCAGGCCGCCTGGCCTGCCTGAGGACTTTGAGAGGACGGCACCCTGAGGCAGTGGGGAGCTGGACTGCCTGGGTCGCAGCCCACAAGCTCCCAGCTGCACTGGTGGGTCCACAGCCTGGGAACCGTGCTTGGCCCAGGGCCTCCACTGGCATCGAGGAAATGCTGCCCACCCTACAGTGCAGACCATGGAGGGCAGAGGAGGCATTTGTCCCCACCCCCGTCCAGGAGATGGTCAGGGGCTGACCACTCTGTAAGCTGCATGGACCCAGAGCAGGGGCGCTGAGGTCCAAGCAGACCCTGCAGGACAGCCCTGTGCCCCGCCCTCAGCCTCTCACACCCCCAGAGCAGGTCCAGCAACGTGCACCAGGGGAGCAGCCACAGTCTCCCACATGCAGCTCCAGGACAGGCCCATCTCTGGGCCCTCTCTGCCCCCGGAACGATGGCCTCGCTCTGCACAGAGGCTCTCCATGCACCCACTGTGGGCAGCGTTGTAGATAAAGAAACCGCCACTCGGAGAAGGGCCAGTTGTCCAAGGCCACACAGCGAGGCCACAGTGAGGCCTAGATTCCAGCTCCCATGCGTCGCCCACCCAGGGCGCATCCCTGAGCCCTGGTCAACAGATGGGAAAGCCACCCTTAAGAGTGACCTGGAATCTGGACAGAGGGGTGGCCTGACCCAGGCCCATCTAAGCTGGGAAAAGAACTTGGTCCATGAAGGCCTCTCAGGAGTTACCCACATCTTCCCTGCAGTGCTGGACCTCAGCTGAGGACAGAGGTGGGGGTGGACATGAGGGCCTTCACGTGCATCTTAAGACACAGATCCGCCTGAGGAAGGTCAGAAGCCATCAGCCTGCCTCTTTTCAACAGAATCTGTTTCTCAAAAGCTGGAAGCTCTTCCCTAAGTCTGACTGAAATCCTTCCTGCTCTAGGGGCACCAGTTCCCATCCCCGCAACACAGGCAGGTCATCCCTCTCGTGCACACAGCGGCTGCTTCCACATGTGGGAGACCATTGGCCACCTCTTCTCTGAGCTACAGAGACTTGTAGTATCTGGGTCATGGAGCCAAGTCCCCCCTCCTGGGCCCAGGCCTGAGGAATCTGGGTCACACCCGCTTCCCCTCAGCGGGTCTAGGACCAGAAAAGGAGCTGGGGCTGCTGTGGCCCTGGCCCTGGCCCTGGCCCCCACCTGCTCTCCCCCAGGCCTCCCCACACCGTATGTCCTGTGCTTCAAACCTCACGAGTCAAAGGCCACGCTGCTCCCAGGGACCCAAGCCCCCTCATCTGACCTTCTCTCCAGCCACCGTCCGGCTGAGAACCTGGCCCCCCTCAGCCCATCCGCCCAGCAGTCTTCTCCAAACCCAGTGGAGGCCACAGCTCCCAGCATGGCCCTAACCCGTGAGACCCCATCCTCATTTACCCCAGCCCCCAGGGCAGGTCCACAACCTCCCCCCAGTGTTTCAGGTGAGGGTGGCTCAGAGAGGGTGCTGCCCGCTGGCCAGGGGAGAGGGTCGACCCTTTGCCTCTGCTCAAGCATCTGCCCACAAGGCACCTCCCAGAGGGCCCAGGCAGGCAGGGGACAAGGCCGTGGGAGACTGAGAGGATCACCACGGCTGGCCAGTCAGCCCAGGGGCACCCCTGCTTGCCCAGTCCCTGGCGATCCCACTGCAGCCCCAGAAAGCAAGTGGGCAGCAACACCTGACCTCCATCCTTGGGCGAAACCCTCCCCCTCAGCCCTTGGGGCTTGGCTGCCACCTGTGCAGTGGCACGCACCCTGCCTGAACCTGGGGCGTGGGGCAGCACACGGGGCTCATGCGCAAGAGATCTTGGGGCCAGGAACACAGAGGGTGCACTGAGAGCCAGCACCCACCCACCCACCAAGCCAGGGCCTGGGCTACATCATGACGCTCTGGCCGGCCCACGGAGCAGGTGCTATTATGAGACGACACACTGTCAGGGTCCCCTTGGATTTGATGGGCTAATTCACACTCCAGTGTGAATGACTCATGGGGTGCCCTCCCACACGGCAGAGAGAAGCCAGGAGTGGGCACGGGCACCCAGCAGGGGACCGCAGTGTTTGGGCAGGCAGTGGGAAGGGTGCCTCTGCTGGCAGGGCCCTCGGGGAGCCCTGGCCTTCAAGATCCTTCCTGAGCACGCCTCCTCCCGTGCCCCTGGCGTCAGCCCCCTGCTCTGTCTCCACTCTATACCCCCATTCTGCCAACTCGCCCGTCGGAGCGCCCCTCCCAAGCCTGCCCACTGCTGACCCAGATAGAGGCTGCTGTCACCTCCCCCCAGAAGCCTGCCTGGATGACCAGGCCTGCACCCTTGCTCTGAGTCCCCCCTGCTGCGTTTGGCCCCCTCGGTCCTGAACCTTGCTTGGACAGGCCAGCCCACTGGAGGCCCGGTGTGCCCAGGCATGCCCAGAACGAGCTGGGGTGGCTGGCCTGCCTGGGCTCTCTCCCGCCTCCAGGCCTGGTCAGTCTGGGCCT